GAAATTTTTAACCGTGTAGCCGAGTTTGTGTTGTTTCTTTGCACGTATTTCGTCATTTAAGCGAGTGTTCTTTTGTAGCTCGGTTGCAAAAGAATGCACTTACTATAGAATACTAATTTCTAACCACAATGTTGGTGTTCATCTGGTTAAAAATTGTTTTTCTGTAGTGTATTTTATTGTTGTAAACTGAATAAAAAAATGCCAATGTAACCAGATAACTTGATAACTAGACTGGTGTAAACATCCACAATGTATTTTTAGAATAACAAAATATTTGAATATTTTTAATCGACTTCAAAAAAAGGAGGAGCTTATCAATTCGTCGGAATATGTTTTTTTATGTATGTTACCGCACCGCATGAGTGTTGAAGTCGGTTCTGTTTTTTGCTTAAAATTTATTTGCATTTTATAACATCAAAACTTTACATTTGCCCAAACAAATTGCGGTCACGGAAGACCATATGCAAGCAGTTGGCAGCAGTCGGCAGCAGTCGGCATAGAGAGCAGACACAAGTGGCTTAGAGGCATTTTACAGGTGTATTCTGCACGTTACCGAAGATTTTGTAGCCGGACAATTTTATTACCAACAAATTTTACCAGTTCTTGTCACCGCGATTCAAGGTACATTGGTAATGTAGTTTAAATATTCAGCAATTCAGCAATTCATCTATGAAGAATTATGGAAATTTTAGCGTCGCAGATTTCACGGGGCAATACTTTGTTAGCTTATGAGTTGGTAACAAAATTTACCGGTTACCAGAATGCGAAAAAGGTTTAAAAACTGACAGAAGCTTTGTTTACCGGTTACAAAAATTTTACTATTTATTTTTCATATGGATATCAAATGAAAGGTATTGTTGAGAACTTTGATCCGAAAATATTTTCGATCAGGGTTGCTTTCATGTAATACAAATTTTTATTTTGTTAATTTCAATCCGCTTTTTTTGTATGTGTAGGTACACACAGTACACATGTACGCTCAAGATATGTACTATTCATTCCATCGTATTTCTAAATAGGGTTGCCATATAAAATTTAAAAGTAGGATATTTACTTAAACTATAGATATGGAAATCCAAATTTTTTTTTATTTATTTCCAAAATATTTTTTTTAAAGCTATCCAAATGGCCAGTATTCGATATCCAAACCTTGAAAACTTTAAAAAGGATTAGTTTACTCCGATCAAGGCTCGGTCAACCTGGTACTTTGAATTATATATGCAAATAGTTATCAAAGTATAATGGAATATGCAGTGCAGACTTTACCTACATATAAAAAAAAATAAAAATTGTAATAGGCCGATGTCTGTACATTGTAGATATTAAAGAAAAATTAATATGGGGGTCTTTATTAGATCAACAAAAGCCTAATCAACATTTCTTAGAATTTTTGTCTGTTTATCTGTATTTTTTCTACGCGCATCATTCAAAAACGAATGCATGGATTTGAATGCAGTTTTCACCTAACTAACTTAAAATATAGAAAAAAATTAGAGAGTTTGAATTTTTCAAGTTAAGTAAATTGATAAGATAAAGCAAATATTGCAATATGGCTGTCAAAAGAAAGAGGTTTATTTATTTATTTATGTCTAATAAGGTTTAAGAAGGCTTACAGGCAAAAACGTTTTTGTGGAAGGATGCCAGCAGTTTGAAAATTTTAATTTAATTTAATTGATAAGATAAATTAAATATGTATTGCAATATGGGTATCAAACTAAGGAGGTTTAGGAAATTTTACTCTCGAAAATATTTATGAATAGGGTTGCCACCTGTTTGAAAAATTCTATTAAGTTGATAACATGAACGAAAATGAGGTTTAAGGAAGTTTACTTTCGAAAATATTTTTGAAATGGGTTGCCACCTATTTGAAAAATTAAATTCAGTGGCCTGTTCAAGAGCCTGCCTGAAACTGTACAAAAAAGCAAAATGCATGTATAGAATTGACAACAATAACCACGCTGTCAAGTATATATATCGACAAATCAGCTGCACTTGATAGCAGTAACTTGAATAAGGGGTGTGAATAGCTCAGTGGTTAACGCTTCTGGTTTTGAACATCGATGACGCGGGTTCGATCCCTGCTGAAGTCTAGAAAAAAAAGAAGTTTGATGAGGGGATGTGGTGATCTCCGAAATAGCTGCTATAACTTCTACCGCTTAGACTATTGCTTTTTCCATTTTTCCTGATAAAATAATCGTGGTACAAAGCTCAATAAAAATATTAAAATTAAATCCAGTTGAATTGAAAAGATAAGCTAAATATTGCAATATGAGCAGGGCCGGATTCAGAATGTGGGAGCCCGGGGTTTTTTAAGTTAATAATACATACAATTAATTGGAAAAATAATTATATTTTCATTTTAACAGTGTCGTTTATCATTGACTTCTAACCACATGTTTTCTTTTGAAATTCTCGCCTGAATTGCTTTGTACTTGCCGCTCATGTTGCATGTAGTATTAAACGACTGACCATGGCAGTCTCGTATATTTAAAGAGACAATTCGTAAGACAATTTTTTTTTTTGATCCGGCTTATTATTTCAGACGGTACTTTCTCACCCCTCAAAGTAAGGTATTATTTCCTCGCAGGTTGTTGAGGTTTACACAGCATTACAAAGAAAAAAGTTTATGCATATTAAACAAAACATATATATCCCTATGTTATTCGACATGCTGAATGCGAATCCGAGGTCCGTTAGTCTCGTATCACGTCAGGTTCGTGGTTAGTTGAAGGTCGAGTAGGGAAAAATTCATTGGATATACCTGAAAATTCATATATATATGGGGTTTTAGATTCACTGAACCCGAGTCCGATGTCCGTTAACCTCCATAATGTCAGCTTCGAGGTCATTTGAATATGGGGGTCCCTTGATACCTCAAGGTCATCTAGAGGTCATGCCAAGGTCATCCCAAGGTCAAAGTAAGATGAATTTTATTGAATATTCAGGTGACCACGAGCCTGGAGTGATGGTGCTGACAAATCTTAGTACCTAACGATCTTTTCTGTAATCTTAGAATTTTTTTTTTTTTGTTCTGTCGTCATCACATGTGGGGGCCTTCTAAATGTGGAGGCCCTGGGCCACCGCGGCCCCGTCGGCCCTGCCCTTAATCCGGCGCCGAATATGGGTATCAAAAAAAAGTACATTGAGAAATCATTGATGTAGAAATCTTTGATTTAGAAATATTTGCAACTAGGAAATACACAGCGTGCTTCGCAGCGCATTCAAGGTACCGTTCTTTTGTTACTCCCCTCACACCATCTAAAACTATTCGTTAATGCTTTCTTTGTAAAGTAGGCATCGAAGTACGCCGGGTATTTGCTAGTTATGAAATAAAAATCCCTAATTTAAATATTCAATGAGCTTTTTCATATAGTTAAACAGTTTTATAAAGTATAAAATTCAATACTTTAAATGATGCGAACTGTTTTTATTGTGGATTAATTTCCCCTCTTTTTATTTAGCTCACTCCATACTCTCAACGGGATGTCCTTTTTAATGTTCTGATTTTCTGTTATTTGTTGCATGTAGCACTGAATTTGAAGAATGTCTGCCTGTACCATTACGGTCTCCCTTCAAGTGTCTGGAACAGCAGACCAATATGTCTGAAAACATCAATATCATCAAACACTTTTTGTTCACAAATGAGTTTGCATCAGCAAAATTGTTCTTTTGATAGAAATCAAACATGGTTATATGAATAATATTTACGAACAAGTGTTTGAATGCAACCACAAGGCCTTGGTTATTAAAGCACCATCATCGCCGGCATCATCGCAGTCATCTTCATCGTGTTTATTGTTATGGGCTGTTCGTTTTTAAGCGATATAAGTACATACATATGTATGTTTATAACTTTAAATACTCAGCACCGCATTGACAAAATTTATGTTCTACTTTGCTGAATAATTTTTTCTTCATTCATTTTCTTGCTGCAACCCTAAGTTTGGTTACAGCCCACTATGGTTACTCACCAGCCGTTGCATACTAGCAGGGAGTTGCAGTTGCCAGACCTTTTGTCAACGTAATGTAACTGTTGTCATTCTAACAAAGTGTGACGGCTTGACTGACACAACACTCGCACAAACCTGACCAATGTATTAATGAGTGCTATGTTATTTCCTTATTTTTATTCATTTTTTTCTGCTCTGTCAACATACATATGTATATTTTACCGTTGTTTGCAGTTTTTCTGCTTTGTAATCTTGAGTTCTTGCCACTGCTTTGTAATGTTTTCATGTCAATGTTGGTTTTGTCCTTTTCGTTGTTATTTTCTGACAATGTGTCGTAATATCCAGCCAACAAGACCTTCTGGCGATTTATGTTACTTTAAAATGATGCTCTCATTTGCACAATGCGTTTAAGTAAGGTGTGACTTGAAAAAATGTCATTGACTTTATTTCCGCCCACGTGCTTCTACTTTGTTTGTTTAAAATTGAATATGCGAGGAAGCACTGATCAATACAGAAATGATAAAGTCAAGGGACAGGATGGTTGTTGGAGTTAGTTCAGAAGGCTAGATATTGGTGTAAGCGCACTTTCTTCTCGAACCTATCCGGAAAAAGCTTTTTTTGTTCAATCATATCAGATTAATAGTTGTTTTATAATGTGAAGCAGCTCCGATGTTCTTCTCTCAACTCATATTTGCAACTCCTCACGAAGGCATTACAGGCATGTTGGTATCCAGTTTTATAGCCCATTAAATTGTATTGTTCTACGTAAGCGGAACCTCTCATATCTGGCCAAATACTGCCACTCCAGCACCCAAGCATGCTAAACTTGCAATATATATTTTCAGTTTTAAAAAGATGGAAGAAATTTTAAATAAGTAACATTAACTTTATTTATATTTAGGGAGCTCACAAGGTGTCGTAAGTGTGGTATTGTAAAGTTTACGATATACAACAATTCGACAATATACAACACCTTGTGCACTCCCGAATTGTCTTAATAATAAATTAATAATGTAGTAATAAACATATAATATTTTAAATTTTCAACAGTGTCGCATAACAATCAATATAATCCGCCAGACCTTCCACCAATGGTCTCATCCAAGGAGCAGACGTTAATGTGGCAGCAAAATTCGTATCTCGGCGATTCTGGTATTCATTCCGGTGCGGTCACACAAGTGCCGTCGTTGTCGGGCAAGGAGGATGAGGAAATGGAGGGCGATCCACTTATGTTCGATTTGGATACTGGATTTCCACAGAACTTTACCCAAGACCAAGTGGATGATATGAATCAACAATTGAGTCAAACTCGCTCACAACGCGTGCGCGCCGCAATGTTCCCCGAAACATTGGAGGAGGGAATCGAAATACCATCAACTCAATTCGATCCCCAGCAGCCAACTGCTGTGCAGCGTTTATCAGAACCATCACAAATGTTAAAACATGCTGTAGTAAATCTTATCAACTACCAAGATGATGCTGAATTGGCCACACGTGCCATACCCGAATTGATTAAGTTGTTGAACGATGAAGATCAAGTGGTTGTTTCACAAGCCGCCATGATGGTTCATCAGCTGTCAAAGAAGGAGGCTTCTCGCCACGCTATTATGAATAGTCCCCAGATGGTGGCCGCTCTTGTTCGCGCAATTTCCAATAGCAACGACTTAGAGAGCACCAAGGCTGCAGTTGGTACTCTACACAATTTGTCACATCATCGTCAGGGCCTATTGGCCATTTTCAAAAGTGGTGGCATTCCAGCTTTGGTGAAGTTACTCTCTTCACCCGTCGAGAGTGTTTTATTTTACGCCATTACCACATTGCATAATTTGTTGTTACATCAAGATGGTTCGAAAATGGCTGTACGCTTGGCTGGTGGCCTCCAAAAGATGGTCACTTTGTTGCAACGCAATAACGTAAAATTTCTAGCCATTGTTACGGATTGTTTGCAGATTTTAGCCTATGGCAATCAGGAGAGTAAACTAATAATACTGGCTTCGGGTGGTCCAAATGAATTGGTACGAATAATGCGTTCGTACGACTATGAGAAGTTGCTCTGGACTACTTCGCGTGTGCTGAAGGTACTTTCGGTATGCTCCAGCAATAAGCCAGCCATTGTAGATGCTGGCGGTATGCAAGCTTTGGCTATGCACTTGGCAAATCCGTCACCACGTTTGGTGCAAAATTGTTTGTGGACATTGCGAAATCTTTCAGACGCCGCTACAAAGGTTGACGGTCTCGAACCACTGTTGCAATCCTTGGTTCAGGTATTGGCTTCAACAGACGTTAACGTTGTCACTTGTGCCGCTGGCATTCTATCGAATTTAACTTGCAACAACCAACGCAATAAAGCTACTGTTTGTCAAGTAGGTGGCGTTGACGCTCTTGTACGCACCATCATAAATGCCGGTGATCGCGAAGAGATCACCGAGCCAGCTGTGTGCGCATTACGCCACTTGACTTCACGTCACGTTGACTCGGAATCTGCACAGAATGCTGTGCGCCTTAACTATGGGTTATCGGTGATCGTGAAGCTTTTGCATCCACCTTCACGTTGGCCGCTCATCAAAGCCGTTATTGGTTTGATACGTAATTTGGCATTGTGCTCGGCCAATCATGCACCGCTACGCGAGCACGGTGCCATACACAATTTAGTGCGTTTACTAATGCGCGCATTCCAAGACACTGAACGCGTAAGTATTCGAGCACACGATTGTAATAAGTAAAAGCATAAACAGACGGCAGCGTTGATCCCGATCAACTCGGGAATTAACTGCAGTTGATCCGGATTAAGACCGAGTTAATCGGGATCAACGCTGCCGTCTGTTTAAGCTTTAAAATACATACAAAATATCCTACATATATTCCTAACGGAAATTTATTTTTCTAACAACAGCAACGTTCGTCAGTTGCCACAACTGGCTCTCAACAACCATCTGCTTACGCCGATGGCGTTCGCATGGAGGAGATCGTCGAAGGCACTGTGGGTGCTCTACACATATTAGCACGTGAATCGCATAATCGCGCCCTGATTCGCCAACAATCAGTTATACCAATATTTGTGCGCCTACTTTTTAACGAAATCGAAAATATACAGGTTTGAGTTCTTTGTTAAACTTAAAGTTGATGCCACAATATTATTCAAAATATTTTTTGTTTTCCAGCGCGTTGCCGCCGGTGTACTTTGTGAGTTAGCTGCCGATAAAGAGGGCGCCGAAATGATCGAGCAAGAGGGTGCCACTGGTCCGCTCACTGATCTATTACACTCTCGCAATGAAGGCGTTGCTACATATGCAGCAGCTGTACTATTCCGCATGAGCGAGGACAAGCCGCAAGATTACAAAAAACGTCTTTCTATTGAATTGACCAATTCATTGCTGCGAGAAGACAACAACATGTGGGGCAATGCCGATTTAGGCTTGGGTCCGGATCTACAGGTGAGTAATATTTAGTGTACAGATAAAGCATTGTCCTTTTATCCACTCTGAGTTAAGCTTGTACATATACTACAACATCTAAACCCTAAGCTATTGTAGCGGAAACTAGACGCTTATATATATCTCTAAAAAACTCGAAAAAGTAAACTACGAATTGGGTTGCTCAAAACTTGCTGTATGCCTATTTTTGCATATGATTGGGTCTATTTACTAGTGTACATACATATAAATGCATCATACCTAAACCCGAAACTTTTGTTTGATTTCAAAAAATATTTGTATTTATTTTTATTTAATTAGAAAGGCACTAGCTGTAAATGTAATAAAAGAATATAGGCGTTAGTGCTTGAGAGCTATCTATTTTTCATTAACATTTTTATTTTATATTTATAAGTTTTACTATAGATAAAATTCTAAAACAAAAATCTAAAGAGAGGAAATGGCCGGGTATTTTAACAGGTTCACTCACGCTCAGCATACAAACGGAAATCGCGCAAGTTTGTCCGAAATTTAAAAAGGATAACAATGGAGGAATTATTTTAACGAAAGAGTTGTCGCCGCCTGAGCGTAATGTCATCCGGTGCAAAGAAACTATTATTTATTGAATTATTCATTTGTAAAGGTCAAGCGTTGTTTTCTAAAGCTCTATAGCTTCAATAACTATTTCGTATAATTAATATTTCTTTCTATTCTTATAAAATAATTTTAAATTAAGTTCATTGTTAATTGCAAAACAAAACCCTTTTATATATGGTGGACAAAAGGCTTCAGTCACGCTTGAATACTGCTCCTAGTTTGCTGGTTATCTAGGTATAAATCTTAACTAAACAAACTTTTACATTGCTTATCCTAGTCCTCAATCGGTATTAATGTTTAATATTTCGTTAATTCGGCCTTGGAATGAATCGAAAGTTATATAATGTTATGATTTAAAAAATCAGGACGAACGAATTGTGTCCTTCACTGTATTACCCCATGAATGGCGTCTGTGAGCCTGCTAAAAAAATCACAAACTAATTTTGTCGACTTAGAGTAGTTATTTGTTGGCTTTTCAGTTATAATTTAGTTATATTTTGTATACACGTTTTGTTTTACATAATTTTGTCAATTAACTTATATATTCTGTTTTTATTTTTATTCTTTTTTGCATTTATGTACTTCGTTTGTAACACAATCACATAAACAACTGTTCACTTTAAATATCACAACACCGTTGAATTTATGAATTGATAAAACACCGAAATTTGTGCTAAACGTTGAACATTGAAACTACTTGCATTATCACCATCACGAAATCACAACGGCTACTGCTGCTACAAATAAAAAATATTAAAAAAAACGTCCCAATACCACAAAATAACACCATTCAAAATCCCTGCCCAACTCCACTACCTATCCAACTGCACATCCTTGGATTTCATTTGTATCCTAACAACTTTTTGCAATTCTCGCAATGTTACACAGGATATGCTTGGACCCGAACAAGCATATGAGGGTTTATATGGGCAAGGCCCGCCGAGTGTACACAGCTCACATGGAGGTCGAGCATTCCAACAAGGTATGTATGATGAGTTTCCAGTCCCTTGCGTCAGTTAAAAAATTACAAGTTGCAAGATTTTGTGTTCCAATGCGGTTTTCATAAATATGTCAAATCGTTACGATAGCATGATGCGTTTGCTCGAGATACTAAAACCAAAAGCAATCAGCTCAAAAAACATTAAAAACTCGAAAGCAGCGTGATTGAGCATCGCCGAATTTGAGTGCTGCAATCACAAATACGATTATGGAAAACTAATCAATAAAAATATTTTTTTATACATATTTTCTGCCATTCACATACATATCCCTTCACCGCCAGTTAAAAAAAAAGTTAAATCCCCTGTTGGCTTATCCGATTTTATTACATGTTATATAGTAATACAAAATCATTCTATAGATATACATTTGCTTTGTGTTTTTATTATATACAAATAACTATAAGAAATAATACCTTATTTCACCACCCAATAATTAACAGTGGCTTACTATCTACGGGCAAAGCACAATAGCATTCGAGTAATAATGCACCCCACCACCATAGCTAAACCTAAACATATACTAATCTACCTCGAAAATACCCAAAATTTATTCAGTCAACCTGTAGAAAGTGAAGTGAAATATAACGTTTTAAAAACAAAGTTTATTTTTATTTAAACCCGTTGTGAATTAATGTTTCTCTCTGAAGGATTTTTTCTAATTTTGAAATCCAAAAACAAACTATACTAATCAGCGAAATTTAAAGTTAATATTAATATAACCGATGTCTGTGGCGAAATCTTATTTCAATGAAAATAACACTGTGCAACAGCATTTTTTGGCGCGCAATAATTCCAACGCAGGATGAAAGACCTAGACCCACATAATAAAACCGCAAAATCGTTTTGCATTCTTTGGTAAAATTTCCTTGCTATGGCCAATTTAAAATTGCAATATTTTGCCAAAGTGTGTTTGGAATAAATGAAAAAATAAAATAAAATACATATCGGAGAGAAATATGTTGTTTCGGGACATATAGTAAAATTTTACGAGGAATAATTTTGTAGAATGTTTAAACCCGTTATCTATCTCCCTCACAAAAGGGTCGTTTTGGCCCTTTTTTTTTAGATAGTTCGATTAAAATGGCATTTTGAAGGTCGCTAGGGGGCAAAATCTACTAAACAATTATCTGCCATAAAATGTCACTAGGAGTCCTCTCAGACAAAATCTTGTACAAAAAATCTGCAAGTCCACAGAAAATAAAAAATCATATATCCCCTTGAAATATGGGCAACCCTCAATTAGTTCGAACTTTCGCATGACTCGACAGTTTTTATTCGGACACATAGGCCCTTATTATGAGTTGCATTTAATGATTTTCGTTGAGTATCGAATTTTCTGTCGAACAGAATTTGGCTTACGTTGTATTTTTTGCCGGCTAGACACTAATTTTAAAAAATGTTTATTAATTTCATGCAGTTCTAACGTCGTGAATACTAAACACAAGTTCGAAAGCCTGGTTTTACTTATGAAAGAAAATCCCAATACTCAGTTGGCGCGATCTCTGAGAACAAAATCATAGAGCTGTTTATAGTTTAATATATTTTAAATAGATTTGGATCACAAAATTTCTTGTATGTCAAAATACATTCGAAAGACTACACTAAAACTCTCTTAAACGTTTTCTGCTCCTGCGCAGTTTTCTAAGTTCTCATCCTCTGACGAATTGTTGAACCAGAACTCCGTTGTACTAATTTTTACCACTTTTATAAACTCGCTTTCTTATTTCATTTTAATTTGTACAAATTTACATATGTACATATGTATAAGCACTCTATTTAGTTTGCTCGATTTGTAAACAAAGCTTCTCAGAGGTGAAAAATATGCTATTGTGAACAGCCTAAACGAGCGAGATTCACAATAGCGCTATTCTTCAGTGAATGAGCGCCATAATACCAAATGAAAGCTCGTTCTATCAGCACTTTCGACAACAGCCGAAGATCGAATGCAACTCATAATAGGGGCCATAATTTTCGCTGGTTTAATAACCTAGATCAGCAGTGGAATTCTGACAATCGCTACGCTAAATTATCGTCGCCAAAATTCTCTAAACGATTTGCAGTGGGTCCTGAAAGTATGCTACATGCAAAAGTAACAGATACAGTGTGTAATCACACAAGTCTGGCAATATGGGGTTCATGTAATTAGATGTTGCATGTCATTAGGCGCGCTTGCTATTCTTTTGGAGATTTTTGGAGATAAAAATTTGCGATAGCGAATGTTGGAATCCGGCTGCAGGTTACATATTTTGTGTAGATTATGTAAACTCAAAAAAGTTTTCACCGTACGTATTTTCTAGCCAAATTTGCATAAAATTTCGAAATAAAATTTCACAAATAAAAGTGTGACTCCTGTTATTTTTTTATTTTTTACGTTGCAAAATTTGGAGCGTTGATTGCTCTCTTTTGAGTTTATAATGAACTGGTAGTATTGGGAGAGGAAAATCGAATGCAAAAGAAGTATTTGCTTGCAATAGAAAGGAAGTTATTAAGAGTCAAAGTGGCGTGACTCCTTTTTTGAAATTCTGATACTCGTGGCTGTTACAGTTACTGTGGCTGGTGCGTATCTAAAACTGTTATTGGACACTATACAGTTCTGGGGCATAAAGGGAATCAATCTAAACGTGGCATGCCTATGTGCTCCCATTAAAAGATAGTTAATAAAACAACTTATTTAACAGGTTACGATGCGTGCACCAATATAAAAATGCATATTTTTATTAGCACATCGTCTGCAATTGGAAAATTTAGCAAATTACGTGTGTGCTCTATTGTACAATATACTATTGGACTATGATCCTCGTGCACCACTTTTTTATTTGTTCATTAAAAAGTTACAGATCGAAATAAATAAGATAAACAAAAAAAAACCAATATACATATATAAGGGAACGTACCCGTACTACGTGACCCAGTTTTTCCAATGTTTAACCTCCCCCTCCCCTTCCCCCCTCGGTGACCACGCGTAGTATATTCCAAGACCCCTCCCCTTGTCTTTATTAATATGGCGCTTGCTGCGTGACGGCAAGAGTGCATGCCTACCTTCATTTAATTACAAGTGGAAAAATTATTATCAAGATAAAACTTATGTCAAAACTTAATTTTTAGAAACAAAAGTCCTGCGAGTTTAAAAAGCGTCAAACGCAAGATTTCCTTAGAGGATACTGACTACGTGATAAAAACCTAAGCCCCCCGCCCCTCACTGTGACCAAGCGTGGTATTTTGAAGATCCCCCTCTCCCCCCTGAACGGGTCACGTAGTATGGGTACGTTCCCTAATACCCAAAGGCATTTTTTATCCAAGCCATCAGATCTGCATCGATTTTCGAAAATGAGGTGTCAAATGAAAGAGCTTGGGCTGTAAATGCTAGGAATTACAGTTGATGTTTGGCAATTTATGTTCGGACAATTTTTTTTTATATGAAAAAAAAAATGCGGAGCACCGTCAACCAAAAAAATTTCCAAAAATCAACGGTAAGTCCTAGATACTTAACCTTTGTTATACTTAATTTTGATCTGCTACAAAGCTGAATACCAAAATTTTATCTTAAGTTGCTAATCAAGAAGTAAGAAATTTTGAGCGAACTTTGCAGAATTTTCATAATTTTTGCACAAAGTCTGAAATTCGGATTTATATCGTGTTTGCTAGCTATACTTCCATAAATAAATAAAATTATAGTTTAAAAAACTAAAACCTCGCTATTATAATTTCTATTCGTACTGTCCTCAGGTATTTAACTTGAGAATAGAAATCGCTGCATCTTTTAGGCGCATCAATATTACATTGTTACATCCCGAGCTAATAAAAGGGAGGTAAAAATAATAAACATTAAATAAACTAAAGAAAAATAGCCAAAACTTACTCAGGGCTATCACGGAATCCATCGTAGAAAATCTACGAATTCGAATGCCTGCTACGAATACGAAAAAATTGCTATCACGGAATCCGAATGAACTCGAAAATATCTTTGCCAGCTTCGAGCGCTGATTCGAAATCAGCTAGTTCAAAGGAAACAATCGACATTTATGTATGCGCTTTTGCTCACGCAGCCCCAGCAGTCGCGATGGCCGAGCGAGCAAAGCAGTAAACCGCCAATTGAGAGATCCGAGTTCGAGTCCGAGTCGTCGAGAAGCGGAGCTTTTTTCTTTCTTTTTTTTACTTAATTTTTGTTTCTTTTATTTAATATTTTTTTTTAAGCTAAGATTTTTTTCTTTTAAAGAGAAAAATATTATTTTTTTAATTAATTTTTATGATCTTAAAGTACTTAGGTTTCTTGCCTAATGAATTGTTGTTGAATTATTTCCTCGCTTCATAAAAAAAATATTCATTCATTAAATAGCGTCTAGCAGATGAAAGTATGTAGCTTCGATTTTCGTGAATTCTGCGAAAGTGCTACTACAGAATCCGAATGGCTACGAACGTAAATTCGAGTTTTAAAATCACTCAATGTTAAAAATAATGCAAAAACGCTGCATTATTGATAATAATACATATTTATTATACTCCAAGTTTGTTAGTTTGATATAACTCCACTTATTTGTGTAAACGTAGACGTCAAATACCAATGTCATACATACATACATATGTACTTATTGATGGCTGAGTAGAAGATCGACCTATCTCGGCAGACAGCTCAAAAACGCCCTATCTCAGAAAACTTTTCAAGAACGCCCTACTTAAGAATTTCAGAAATTAATAACGCCCTCAGCTTATTTTCGTTTGATATAGGGCGTTTATGAACCGATTTCTGAGACAGGGCGTTATTCAACCAAATTCGAGATAGGGTGTTTTTCACTAAAATTCTGAAATAGGGCGTTCTTGAAAAGTTTTCTGAGATAGGGAGTTTTTGAACTGGCTGCCGAGATATGTAGGCCGATCTTCCACTCAGCCATCGATATGTACATAGTATGTATGTATACGGACTAAAATTACACCCACTTTCCATTTCAAAAAAAAAAAACCGTAAGAAACGTTAAAAACGTAT